TGTTACCACAAGGCTTTTTAAGCTTCACACCAGCCAGTGTCATGGCAGGGGGCGTCTCACACCAACCTGACCCTGCAAACCTCTCCCCTCTGGGCAGAGCTGCTCCTCCAGCTCCCTTTGATGCTTAATTACACTGCTCTGTCATCTACCGACAAGCCACTGTGACAGTAGGGAGGCAATGAGACGACCAACATAAACAAGACAAGAGCTCCACAATCAAACATGCAACTAGAACCACTTCAGTTCAGGTCTGATCCTCTAACAGAAGACTTGGAATATAACAGAACACAACATTTATGGCCATTTTTGCAGCTGGACAGTATCGATCCCCTTGATTTGAATGGCAAAATTACACTGCAAAGAGATTTGACAGTAATGAGCGGTATCAGTATCGCATGTCAGGCTCTGTAAGGAAGTGTTGCTATTAAACTGAGCAGTCTATGAGAATAAGGAAATAGCATATGTCGGTAAAACTGTTGGCAAAATGAGCAAAAAAACAATGTTCTCGCACAAATCGAGCAGTACACCACAAAACGCTTGAAAAGCACAGCAGTTTAGCAGCAGGGGAAATCCCATTGCAAATGACGGAGCCGAGTAGAAATACAGAAAGACATTAATTCTGACAGACACTTTGAGATGCAGTGAAGCCCAACTGAGGAGCTCTTGCCGGTATGAATTAAAGGAACTGAACAGGAAGTGCTGTTTTGATGCTCTTCAAAAGAGGGGATCTGCTTTTAACGGCCATATATGCGGCGTCAAGGACAGTTGATACAATTTTAAGCAACAAAGAATGAATCAATTAAGGCAGAAATAGCATAAAATATGCATAGATACACATACAATGATGACAAAGGAGACATTCTATAATAGCTGCTCAGTTAACAGTTCAATCAAAATGACAAATTCTGTCATAATTTATTCACACCTCACGTCGTTCCAAAGCTGTACTTCACTTTTTTTAGTGGATGAAAAAAAAAAGAGAAATTTTTAAAGAATTTATTTGGGAACTGGGAAGCCCCGAAAGCACCATAGAAGTAACATAAAATACTCATGACTTTTGTACTATATTCCAACTTCCAACTTTTGTGGTAGAAACATGCTGAAATCTAAGTCATTATTTACTTCAGAATCTTTACTTCAGATCATTAGATTATTCAGATCTAATGGCTATTAAACACCAACATTATTAAAAAGCAGTGTAATTTTAGTATAACCGAGATACTGTTACAGTTTTTATTCATATTTTCCATTTTCATTTTAGTTTGTATATTTATTTATTTATACATTTGGTTGTGTGGTTTTGTCATTTTTAAATATGTCTATATAATTTATGTCTATATGTCTTTATGTCTATATATTACTTTTATTTCAGTTTTAATTTATTTTAGTATATCAAGTTTTTATTATTTATTATTTAATACACACGTTAAACTAAATAAAAATGAGAAATGTTGCCTTAGCAACTAACTGAAATAAAGTTTTTTTTATAATTATATCATTTGAGTTTATGTTTATTTACGTAACTGCATATTAAAGGGGTCATAGTATGCCCATTTTCCACAAGTTGATATGATTCTTTAGGGTCTTAATGAAAAGTCTGTAACATAATTTGGTTAAAATTTCTAAATGGTAGTGTAAAAAACTCCTTTTTTTTTACCCTGTTCAAAACAGTTCTTTTCAGATCAAGCCGTTTTTGTAGCATTTTCCTTTAAATGTTAATGAGCTCTGCTGACCACGCCCCTCTCTTCCGAGCTGCTCTCAGAGAGACTGTTTACTTTAGCCGCATTCATCGTAGGGCTGTCGCTAGGGATATGCCGGTATCAAATTTTCATGTTGCGATTAATTGCTAATGCTTTTATTACGGTATACGGTATTATAACGATATTGAAATTAAGTTTAAAAAAGTGCTGTCATAATACAGTATAATATATATATATATATATATAATCTGTGTGTGTATGTGTTATAAATATAACGAGGTCATATTCAGAAACCAATGAAACCGAAACCAAATAGCGTTGAAACAGGAAGTGAAGTAAACAGAAGAGAATGACAAAATAACAATCCACATAACAGAACATAAACCTGACAATAAGGTTGTTAGGCTATTGTTAGCCTATATGTATAACGGTTCGTTCTGATCCTCGAATCCGACTGGAGAAGAGACTTTCTATTGACATTTCCACCTGCGCGCGTTCTAGACGGGCTGTCAGTCAGTGCAGTTACA